AAAGGGTGGTTGATAAAACATTGCAAAGCCAACACTCCTCAGATCTCATACCAACCATATCAGGCCCATTTTTAGTATTTGTTGGTCAGATAAACTAGTGGATCATAGTATTAATACAATGTATGTCAAATCAGGTTTTGCCCTTCATTGATGTATAAACACTGAATACTCAGTGTGTTACCTCCTGAGTAAAAGTTGGAAAAAATCACTCGGTTGGGACTCGAACCCACAACCTCCTGCTTTCTAGTGCAGATGTTTTACCACTTGACCACTGAGCTAATGGGATCGGTTGGCTGGCTCGAATCTGATGTATTGGTACATGGCAGTGGGCATCGCATTAACTATTTATAAGGTCTATGGGATTTTAAGTTTTGTTTAAGCATTAATATGGTTAAGGTTTGTGACTCATGATCAGAGGGTCAGGGGTCCGAATCTAGTTGCCGGTTATATGTGTGTCCTTGGGCAAGCCACTTCACCCCCACTTGCCTCTCTCCACCCAGGAGTATAAATGGGTACCGATATTAGCTGGGAAGTAACCTGCAATGGACTGGCATCCTATCCAGGGGGGATAAAAAAATATCCTCGGTCGTTTCATGCCTTTGAAACCAGAGATGTATTGGCTAATGACAGACTTTACTTACTTTCATAGTATTAATAGTAAATATATATATCTGTTGCAGCTTTTGGTAGGTGTGTTGATAATTCCTTGATCAGCTGATGAAATTACCTGTAGTTACTCCCCTGAGAAGTGAGTTTAGTTACATACGTTATCCCAGTAAAGTTGCTTCAATCACGATAATTGATCAGATCATCTCCAAAAGGGTGGTTTCTTTTGTCCGAGTCTGTGCCAGCAGGTTGATCCTGTTACCATCCATCAATATTTTCCAATCCTCATTTCAGTCCAACAGCGCCCAGCCCAAAGCTGTCCATCCTGATTCAGACCAGCAGCAGGCAGAGCCAGAGAGTCTGTTGCTACAGGTTGAAGCTCTACAATCTCAGATGAAGGAACAAGCTGAGCTATCTAGAGAGCAGACGGAAGCCTTGCTGGAGGATCGTAGGGTCAGGATGGAAGAGATGCAGACTGTGATTGAGAGAGATCGCTCCAAGATTCACTCCCTCAATGAAAAGTAGGAACTCCCTTCATTGATTCCTTATAATCTTAAATGAACTTGACAAAGGTGCCCAGTGGCATAGCTAATGATAGGGGAGGAGGATGAGGGGCATGGACCCCTCTGCTCAAAGACTGCCTCCTACTAGAAACTGAGGTCCCTTTAGGGCCCTCCAGCAACTTGGACCCCAGTTACATCCTTGAAGGTACCAATAAAGATAAATGCACATGTGTGCAGTTTGGACAACGGGCAGGGGTTTCAAATAGATTATATTACCTGGTGTTTGTGTTGTTGCATGAATTGGCAAAACATTTCTAAATATGTGGAGTGCCCTGGCCTCATGGTCTGGAGCATTGAACTCGTTGTCTGCGGGTAATTCTACAGGTTGTGGGTTCGAGTCCAGCCTGGGGTTATGGTGCATGTTCCCTTTGGCAAGACACTTTGTCACTCATTGCTTCGCCCCACCCAGGAGTAAATGGGTACCTGTGAGAACAGAGATCGCAATTGTGATTGATTTTAGCTACCTTGCGTCGAAATGACTACACCGAGCTGTATGGGCTTTATTCAGGAGTCGACTATATTAAATTGAAAGCGAGGTAAAATCTTCATATTTGGAACTTGCAAAGAGAAATTAAAGCAGTGACATAAAATTAATTACAAATTAATACCAGTCTGCTTTAATGAAAATTTAAATTTGTTGTTAAACATACCCTAATGTTTTTAAGCCACATTTAAAATAAAAATTGAAAGTGAGGCTAGAATGCAAAAATAGTCTGGCACCATCCTATTCAATAGTTTATAAAATACTGTCAGGGAACATGACTAAAATGACTTCCTCGTGAATAAAAATCCATATTCCACAGGAAGCTGAGATTGTATTTGCAATGTTTCATTGGCCCAATGATCAGGGGTAATAATAATGTAAAGCACTTTGATCTTAGTTATTTTAGAAACCACAGTCTTTCCACACTAGTATATTGGCAACACATCTTGCCAAAATAACATGGAGGCATATGCAGTGTGTGCTTGCTGAAATTACATGAGTCAATTGACTAATAAAACCAAATTAGGTTTTGTCCATCACCGATGTATAAACACTGTATTCTCAGTGTGTTTCCTCCCGAGTGAAAGTTGGAAAAAAATCACTCCGGTGGGACTCGAACCCACGACCTCCTGCTTTCTATTGCAGATGTCTTACCATCTTATGAATAGTTAATGTAGTACCCGCTGCTATGTACATCAGATTCGAACCAGCCAACTGATCCCGTTAGCTCGGTGGTCAAGTGGTAAGACATCTGCACTAGAAAGCAGGAGGTCATGGGTTCGACCGGAGTGATTTTTTTCAACTTTAGGGAATGACAGCCTAAAGCATCCTGTAAAATCGTGGCTCCTGGTGTGCTGACATTTAAAAAAAAAAATGGTATTTTTCCAACGCTGGTCGGCCGACCAGCAATGGAGAAAACTGTTTTTTTTTTTAAAACTACTCCTAATTTTTCATAATTAGTTATTCTGTGTTTTCTGTGCAATTGATTACACACCTTTGAAGGGGTACAAGCCTACTAGACTGCCTCTCTGATCTTACAATCCCCCAAAGTCTATAAATTCTCCGTTTCATCTTAAATGGGGTCTGTGAACCAGACTACAAGAACATGAATGGTTTTCTTGGTTTTTCCAACATCTACAAGCCCAAAACGTGAAACAAGTCATTTTAACAATATTTGCTAAAACATACTAATCCTCCAAATCCATTTATTTCTGATTATTGCAGCAAAAGCAAATGTTGTACATGCCCTTTAACAATATTTTTTATAGCACACTAATCCCCCAGATGCACTTATTTTGAACATTGCAGCAAAAGCAAATGTTGTACATTCCCTAACAAGTTCAACAGTTTGGCTGTTACTTGTAAATGGAAAATCAATTGATGACAATACAAAAAATTGATTTGTCTGAGTACGTCCGGTGTTTTGAGCCAATTTCTACTACAGCAACAAAGTTGGATGAATAATTTCTTCTTTGACTCATCAAAGTAACTAGTGACTAACTGATATGTTTTATCAGAATTAAAATCTACCCCGTGATTATAACTACAATTACATACACTGTTGAATTGCCCAAAATGTACGTCTGACACTGCGGAACTGCCCCCATTTGAACATTATTAAGAGTAAACCTAGTCAAGTTCCCTTGTATTGGGTATTTTAAGTGTCAACAGTTCTTCAAGTTGTCCTAAATGTCTCATCCTTTTCCAAACAAGCAAACAACTCAAGGAATGCCATGGATAAGCCAGTTCGGTATTTCAACTGCTTATGTGCACAACGATATGGGTCACCGGTCATTCGGGATAGTAGAACGATCAAAGGTGCATGAATGCGGGTGCGCGACGCTTGTGTGTAAATTACCACCAGAGTGGTCGTGCGCGTAACATCGCCTAACATCGTGTCAGCAATGTTATCCCAAATGACCTCAGGTCATTGAAATACAGAACTGGTTTATTACAATGAATTACAGTCGGGCATTAGAAGACTTTTGACCCAACTTTGAACATTGCATTTTATTCTGGCAAACAATTATATATCTGCACACACTGTCCATCAGATTTCAAAGGTATATGAAGGTGTAACCTGTAATTTCCAAGACGTCTCATGTTTTCTTCTTACTTGCCTGTCTGGTTTTTTTTTCTCCAGAGGGTGAAATATTGGGTTTAAAAGCCGAAGTGCCAAGCAGACCACAGAACAACAGAACACGGAGGAATGCACAACACAGAGTTACTGCTAACACAAAAGGTAGGTAGAGATTACATACCGGTATGGTTGAGGCAAAGGGTGGTTGATAAAACATTGCAAAGCCAACACTCCTCAGATCTCATACCAACCATATCAGGCCCATTTTTAGTATTTGTTGGTCAGATAAACTAGTGGATCATAGTATTAATACAATGTATGTCAAATCAGGTTTTGCCCTTCATTGATGTATAAACACTGAATACTCAGTGTGTTACCTCCTGAGTAAAAGTTGGAAAAAATCACTCGGTTGGGACTCGAACCCACAACCTCCTGCTTTCTAGTGCAGATGTTTTACCACTTGACCACTGAGCTAATGGGATCGGTTGGCTGGCTCGAATCTGATGTATTGGTACATGGCAGTGGGCATCGCATTAACTATTTATAAGGTCTATGGGATTTTAAGTTTTGTTTAAGCATTAATATGGTTAAGGTTTGTGACTCATGATCAGAGGGTCAGGGGTCCGAATCTAGTTGCCGGTTATATGTGTGTCCTTGGGCAAGCCACTTCACCCCCACTTGCCTCTCTCCACCCAGGAGTATAAATGGGTACCGATATTAGCTGGGAAGTAACCTGCAATGGACTGGCATCCTATCCAGGGGGGATAAAAAAATATCCTCGGTCGTTTCATGCCTTTGAAACCAGAGATGTATTGGCTAATGACAGACTTTACTTACTTTCATAGTATTAATAGTAAATATATATATCTGTTGCAGCTTTTGGTAGGTGTGTTGATAATTCCTTGATCAGCTGATGAAATTACCTGTAGTTACTCCCCTGAGAAGTGAGTTTAGTTACATACGTTATCCCAGTAAAGTTGCTTCAATCACGATAATTGATCAGATCATCTCCAAAATGGTGGTTTCTTTTGTCCGAGTCTGTACCAGCAGGTTGATCCTGTTACCATCCATCAATATTTTCCAATCCTCATTTCAGTCCAACAGCGCCCAGCCCAAAGCTGTCCATCCTGATTCAGACCAGCAGCAGGCAGAGCCAGAGAGTCTGTTGCTACAGATTGAAGCTCTACAATCTCAGATGAAGGAACAAGCTGAGCTATCTAGAGAGCAGACGGAGCCTTGCTGGAGGATCGCAGGGTCAGGATGGAAGAGATGCAGACTGTGATTGAGAGAGATCGCTCCAAGATTCACTCCCTCAATGAAAAGTAGGAACTCCCTTCATTGATTCCTTATAATCTTAAATGAACTTGACAAAGGTGCCCAGTGGCATAGCTAATGATAGGGGAGGAGGATGAGGGGCATGGACCCCTCTGCTCAAAGACTGCCTCCTACTAGAAACTGAGGTCCCTTTAGGGCCCTCCAGCAACTTGGACCCCAGTTACATCCTTGAAGGTACCAATAAAGATAAATGCACATGTGTGCAGTTTGGACAACGGGCAGGGGTTTCAAATAGATTATATTACCTGGTGTTTGTGTTGTTGCATGAATTGGCAAAACATTTCTAAATATGTGGAGTGCCCTGGTCTCATTCTACAGGTTGTGGGTTCGAGTCCAGCCTGGGGTTATGGTGCATGTTCCCTTTGGCAAGACACTTTGTCACTCATTGCTTCGCCCCACCCAGGAATAAATGGGTACCTGTGAGAACAGAGATCGCAATTGTGATTGATTTTAGCTACCTTGCGTCGAAATGACTACACCGAGCTGTATGGGCTTTATTCAGGAGTCGACTATATTAAATTGAAAGCGAGGTAAAATCTTCATATTTGGAACTTGCAAAGAGAAATTAAAGCAGTGACATAAAATTAATTACAAATTAATACCAGTCTGCTTTAATGAAAATTTAAATTTGTTGTTAAACATACCCTAATGTTTTTAAGCCACATTTAAAATAAAAATTGAAAGTGAGGCTAGAATGCAAAAATAGTCTGGCACCATCCTATTCAATAGTTTATAAAATACTGTCAGGGAACATGACTAAAATGACTTTCTCGTGAATAAAAATCCATATTCCACAGGAAGCTGAGATTGTATTTGCAATGTTTCATTGGCCCAATGATCAGGGGTAATAATAATGTAAAGCACTTTGATCTTAGTTATTTTAGAAACCACAGTCTTTCCACACTAGTATGTTGGCAACACATCTTGCCAAAATAACATGGAGGCATATGCAGTGTGTGCTTGCTGAAATTACATGAGTCAATTGACTAATAAAACCAAATTAGGTTTTGTCCATCACCGATGTATAAACACTGTATTCTCAGTGTGTTTCCTCCCGAGTGAAAGTTGGAAAAAAATCACTCCGGTGGGACTCGAACCCACGACCTCCTGCTTTCTATTGCAGATGTCTTACCATCTTATGAATAGTTAATGTAGTACCCGCTGCTATGTACATCAGATTCGAACCAGCCAACTGATCCCGTTAGCTCGGTGGTCAAGTGGTAAGACATCTGCACTAGAAAGCAGGAGGGTCATGGGTTTGACCGGAGTGATTTTTTTCAACTTTCACTCGGGAGGTAACACAGAGAGTATACAGTGTTTATATGTCGGTGAAGGGCAAAACCTAATTTGATTTACATCACCCCGACGCAAAATGAAATGAAATCTTATGAATGACTAATAAGACACTTACCGTTCTTTAAACAAAAGTAGAATGTGTATCCTTTATTCAGCTACCTTGTTCAACCATCATACATCACTTGTCATGGACATTCTTCTGTTAATAGGTTACATCGTACACAGCAGATGTTGTATGACAGCACTAAGGACTATCTAGAGCTGAAGTATGAAGGACGATCTCAGGAGCGAGTCTGGATGGTAGAGAAGGACCGTCTACTACAGGAGCTGGATCGATGTAAGGAACAACTAGATGTCTCCAAAGATGACGTCTTAGTCATCTCAGATCATGCACTGGAAGAGAGACAAACACAGAACTTGGAAATTGAGGTGGGCATTATAGAGAAGCTTCCTGCACAAAGAAATCATTTCAAGTTAAATACAATACAATAATGATCATTTTCAAGCAAATTCGTTTGAATTGCTTTAAAAAAAGAACTAACTTTTCCATTCAGAAATCATTTTTTTTCTCAAAAGTTAGCAAAACAAAAGAATCTTGTTACAAAGTCACAACTGAATGGCCCCCTCAAAAGCTGCAATCAAACTATTGGGGTAATCGCACATAAGGAGCATTTTGGACTTTGGCAGATCTACTTTATTCAGTGTTGTACAAATGATACTGAATGATTGCAACGTGGTGGTTTTAGTCTGACGATCTCTTCCATGCAAAATCTTGAGGAAGGCGAGGAGAGCATAGAAGACAAATTTCACCGGCAGTTGTTGTACGAAAAAGACGGCAGGCCTAATGCCAAACTTTTTCCAGTTCCACCTACCATGCGTTAGTGGACTTGTTGTCTTGGACTTTTTCCTTGACTTTCTCCGTGTCTCAAGTAAGATGTGAATTTCTTTAATTACGAGTCAGAAACTCCAACCCTAATTCGGGCTTTTTAATCTTATGGAAACACTGAACATTTTTCACATCGTAAAATTTCATTTGGATCTACATGTACATGTAAAAGAAAAAAAGGAGGCGATGTCCAGAAATTGAACACGAAGTTTATTGTACATATAGTACGTATGTGTACTTGCGGCGCAGCCCAGATTTCGGACACAGAATTTTGGCCGGCCTATTTTCAGATTTTTTCCCCATAGGCCAGTTTCATCCCTGTATGGTCTGTGACTTGAAACATAGATGAGTTTGTGAACAGAACGGGACAAAAAAAACACAGAACCGGGCCTGCGGATCTCGATTTCAAATAAAAGTTGCTGAATCATGTTGCTGAATCATGTTTTGAATTGGGCCTGAATTGAGACACATTCTCATTGAGCCGATTGCAGCTACGCGGTGTCATGCACTGATACGATGAATTAAGGCAACTGCGCGCACGTTTGCATCGTGTCAACGCTTGTGCGTGCTTCGCCAAATAAAAAAGCGAACTACTAACAGAAATTTCCAACGATGCGTCTGAAGACCTTCTTTTGTTGATTTCTTCAAAACGACAGCATGTCAGAAAGAATAATTTCAGAGAGAATTTAGTACTGTCAACCAACCAAGTATGTTTTTCAAGATAAATACATCAGTTACTTTTTGGATAGCTGCAAATGATGGACTGTAGCTTAAAATGACTAGAGACTTAACTTACTGTACAGAATGTACACTGCTGGGTGCGTCCATTTTTGTGCACAAACCTATGGAGAGCTCAGAATTTTTTACTGCTTTTGGGCAATTCCACGGTAACGGAAGGACGTTTTCGCTCATTAAACAAAATTTCAAATGTGCCTATCACAGCCACTGTTATTAGTTACAGCAAGCAAATGTCACAATGGTATTGCTATAATGCTACCTTCAATTTCCACACTTTTGGGGGGCATGCATACCTCTCGTTAATGAATTATGAATATTAATGAGGTCGGTAACGGAAGGACGGTAAAACGGACGAGGGTTTTCCAACTTACACGCGTTTTGCATAAACTCTGTGAATTTTATGGGGCAATTATATTTCAAAGGTAGGAAATGGAATCCCTGCGGCTTTATCTATACTATACCACCTTTCATTTGACTTTAAGTGTTTCGGTGATATAATTACAATGTCTTAAGTGGATTATAATTTGGTAGCGGAAGGACGGTAACGGAAGGACAAAAGGTTTACTCAATTATAGCATGAATAAAATGTGAATTTACACTAATTATACAAGTGAAATAAATTGCTGAAATGTGTAACTGAATGTGAAATCAACAATATGCAGACCTGGCATAAATAATTATACCCAAGAAACTATTGAGATAAAGATAGAAGCCTGCTAATTAATGATAACAAATGAAAAATGAAAACAACCAAAAACACATAATTCACGAACACAAGACAACTACAGAAATGGACTTCAAACCCATCACCTTAATCCTTAAAAGTTTTAAATACACAGTATTTGAGCACTTGAGTATATTTGTTACATGTTCACCAACAACTTTTAATAATAACACCAGTAGGTTCAGTGGTTTACCTAAAGGGTGGGGGGGGGGGGGGGGGGCAGGCGACCAGCTTACATGTACATTAAAAACATCTACAGGTAGAACTGATGGCTTCAGAATCATTGTGCTTTAAAAAATGTTTTAGGTGTTGCTTTTAATTGAACTCTAAATTCAGTGTTTGAAATCAAATTTTAATGATTTAGAGTATTAACAATAATTATCTTATAAACATCCAGCCTGAAGTTGTTAACTTAATTTGTCAAAAATTGCACCTCACATGTCTTACACATGTAAATTGTATGAAAGTGCCCAATAGCACTGGTACTTTCTGCCATCTCATTTTTTACTTAATTTGCTTCTGGAATGGCTTCACAGAAATTGTATCTTTCTCTATTGTCCATGAATGGTGATAGCAGCAACTTAATGATTTGATTTTCTGCAACAACTCCATACATGTATGAGTACCGGTACATTGTCATACATGTACATTGTACATGTACATGTTATACATATGCCTGTGCCATCCTTTGTAATGAACACCTTGCCCTGCTCATACCAGCTTTGTGAAGGTGGGTCACATGAATGTCCTTTCAATGCGCATTATACATGCATGTAGTTGCAGTGATTTTCATTTTTCAAACATGAGCACAAATGTCGTTACATTTGATAAAAATAACATTTGTCCTTCCGTTACCGTCCTTCCGTTACCAATTTGGTAACGGAAGGACGGGATTTAATTAATTGTAATTAAAAAACGATACGTACAGCAGTGTCAGTTATAATGTCACATTGAAGGCCTACCTAAACTTGCTTTGCACAATAACTTTCATTGCATTCATACTGCAAGTTTTGAAAATAAATTAAAAATATGTATTTTTTCGGTAACGGAAGGACATTTTCGAAGGCTGAAATATTAGAAGTCACTGAAGCGAAACAAATTACGCAAAACGTAAAAAAAAAGGTCCAGTCAGTTTTTCATGACCTATACTTACTTATGACAGAAACTGATGGCATGAGTACATATTTGTGTGTGTGTATTGGTAGAATACTGTCATATCACTATTTATCACATTTTTAGGATTAAAACAGGATTATTATGTAATCCTATTTTGTTGGTACCAAAATGTATCAAAAATAGAATTCCGACTTCAAATTCCCTTCAGTGGATTGTTCTGATTGCTATCGAAAAGTGAACAAAATAAACTCTGATATTCAAACAGTACCAACTGCTCATGCAAAGTTTAAGCCATTTCTGATCTATTGCCGAAACCTGTTTCTAGTACCATTCATTCTTGTGGTTATTTATCCACAGGATAAGACGGAAAAGCTTGCTAAGCGTTTACACCTGATGAACCAGCGGTATGAGGCCATGGAGAAGCGACGGAATCTGGAGATAGAAGGTTTCAAGAATGATACCCGAATCTTGAGAAACCAACTCAAGGATGTTGAGAAGCAACTCTACAAGGTGGAGTATTGTCTGTTCATGTCAGTCATGTTGTTAGTTTGCATTTGTCCGTTGCTGTTTTCTACTTTCCTATGTTGGTCAGCTATAGTGCAGTTCATGCAGATCGTGGTGCGGACACTGCGAACAAGTACCCCAAAGGCTGGGTCATGCTTAGCCCCATATGTGGCCATTTTACTGGACTACCTCCATAAATAAAGGCCACACTTCCACCATGTACAAAAACATGTCGAACTTTTATATTTGTTTTATATAACTGACACATAGATCCTTGTCATTTGATATTTGAACTTTTATTTCAATATAAAATTGGTTGAAAATGTATTTTTCTCTTCCAAACCACCCCTTCACGAAAATGTTTGAACCCAACGCTGGCTACGTGCAATGCTAAACGCGCACACCAGCATGCATTTGCATACAACTGCGTCATGGAACAAGAATGATCCTAACTGTTCAATAGTATTTCCCATTCCCCATAGGCGAATGGGACTTTTGAGCCCCGGCGTGAATGGGAGCAATAACGAATGCCACATGATGTGAGTTCCACCAATCAAATGACAACGATCTGTATGTCGATTATATAAAGTAAAATGGTGCATTCCATGAAACGTGCTCTTGACTAAATCAAGAAGCAGATTCTGTTAGTGAGATGTTATGTCATCTTAGTCCATAATGATGTTGTCACTGAAATCAAGATTGCAAGGACATCATTGCAGGGATGTAGTCGAGTCCATCACTAGTCCCTGCAAGTCCACCACAAGTCCTCCAACACCAATTTAACTCACAAGCTATTCAAATGAGCTTTGACAAAGGCATCCAGTGTATCTTGTGCCTGGACTTGTGATGGACTCACGAATTACTTGTGTCTGGACTTGTGGTGGACTTGTGAATGGAATCAACTACATCCCTAGCCCTGGATCATTGTCAGTGCTTTGTAATGTAAACCCTTCTTGTAAACCTTCTGTTTGTTCCCCTCCAGCAAGGAAGGAAAAGCAAAATCTGCATTTCAGGTAGCATATAAAAGCACTACAGTGGATTTTATTAAACAGTAAATTCTGCATTTATGGTAGCACAAAGGCGGGAAAGCAGAACAAAATGAACCATTCAAAAAATACTCAATCTGCTATTCTGACAGCAGAAACGCAGATGTCCACGTTTTGTCCTCGATGACTACATGAACAGTCCTGTTCATTTCAGAATGGTAAATAGTGCCCTCTTCTCACCATCTAGTTTGCAAGTTGTCCTTCAATACCCATTTGTTGTTCCAAACATTTGTGTCAAGCTTGTTATTCCAATTAACTATGCACAAAAAGTACATGTATTGGGGTCATGTCCTGCATGTTGTTCTAATGTAGGAGAGATGTACAAAGTAGTGTATGCAATGAAGTCACATGTATTCTACCATACAATCTTATATTGGTGTCCAATATCAATAGGTCTCATTCAAATGACGTCATTTCCTACAGACCAGCCACATGCATCAACATTTTGAGCATCAACTGAATAACGCACATCGGCTGTGTCGTATTTCAAACACATTTCAAGCAAGAAGCGCGTGTGTTTGGAACATTTTTAACACTGCGCAATGCGTGCTTGATTGCGTAAAATAAGCAATCAAGAGATGACCGTCATTGAGTGAGCCCTATTGATATGCTTGGCAGTAAGGATTGAACAGAGAGATTATTTTATGCAACTGTTAATATCTTTTGGAATTTTGCAGTGAAATACTTTTTAAAATAAGTTGGCTATTTTAAGGACTTTATTTTTATGGTGAAGGATTTTGGAATTAAATGTAGAATATTAAAAGGATCTATGCAAGCTTTCAGAACAAATTTGTGATTGGCATTCAAGCGCTTTATTTTGTGTGTTCCATGAGTGTGAGTGGGTTTAACAATTCATCTTCCAGCACACTTCATGCACAGTTACGTGCACGCTGTCGTCACGTTTCAGCTTTCATCTACCACATACGTACGTGCAGCAAGCGTCTTGCGTTGTGTGGTGCAGTGTGGCCCATTATGGGATAATAACACTGTTGTTGCCATCAGGCATGCAATTTTTCCTTGGATCTGCTGATTTCCTTCTTTCTTTTCTTCTCATGAATGCCATTACAATTTTTGAAAAATACTGTACAAAGGCTTGTGTGGTTTGGAATTTCCTCCTTTTCTTGTAAATTTTGAGTTGCATGCCTGTTTCATGTATCAACCTATCAGTATAAGAATTCAAATTTGGTTGAAGATAAGCACATATGTACAACATACATGTCTGTTAGTTTGTTACACACAGTGCCACCGTGTTGAATGTTTTGACCAATCAAGAAATCACTAATAGAAGCCACAGTTGAGCCAATACCAGGCATGTATGCACGGGGGGGGGGGGGTAAAGACACCAGACCAACATATAATTGGGTAAGACTTGCAGTTTGACAAACTCAAGGAAGGGGGGGGGGGCTTGATTACATTAGTCTCTGGATGGCACTATTATGTCATTTTTATTCAGTTGAAGCATCATGGTTGCAGGTAATCTTTTAAAGGCAGTGGTGAAAGTAATAGATGAGCCAAATTACTTCACAAAAATATTCAGCAAAAATGTGGATTTTATTTCTTTGTGTGTGTGTGTGTGGGGGGGGGGGGGGGCGGTTTGCATATGCAGACCTTGATGCCCCTACAAGCCTGTCTAGGTACCAACCTCATAAATATTGCCACATTGCCTATCCCTAATCTATACAATTCAATGTCATGAATGTCAACTGATCAATCTCATGAGCTTCAACTTGAAACAATGTACATAGACCTTCCCAAGACTAGACTGGGGCAACTACCATTGAGCTCTTAATTATACAAATATCAGCTGCTTCAAGTTGAGTGGTAAAACTAGCCTCCTGGGTAGTCCGAGGATCAAACGATCATGTTTACAGAGCCTCACTACGAATGTCTGATATATCCGAACATGCAAATTGTATGCGACCCCACGGGCCAGCCAATCAAAGTTGAGTTTAGATATGTTGACACTAGGGCTGGTTGACCTACGACAGTTGACCCATGTAAAGGGACATAACATGAAATAGCTAGATGGGCGTTTCGAGAAAAAAAAGTGTAGTAAAATTGTTGAACAAAATTGTAAGAAATCTATAAGTTTTAACTACCTTTGACTTTTGGACCAAAAGTTTAGATTTTTTGACCGAAGAGGTATTTATGAATGGAAATAAATATGTGCTTGGCCGGTATTCTACACTTTGTTTAAGACCGGTTGAGTCTGGATGCTGATAACGACCCTTGCCTTTGGCTCCGGTCAGTATCATCATCCAGACTCCAAGCCGGTGTTGAACAGTGTTTAATATCGACCAACAAGCACACACATTTATTCCCTCATTGAAAAGATTACGATTTCAACTCGAGTCTTTTCTAGTTGAGTCTCAATGACAACTTAAATAATGGAGATATTAAACGCACAAGTGCAAGTCTCACATAATGTTATTTCACTCTTAGGGCCACTGGACATAACATACTAGTAGTACATACGTTACAGAATTCATATATTACATGTACATGCACTCTGTGAAAAGCAAGTCACAATGTGCAACATAAATTGTACCAGACAATAATTCAAACAATCACTCGTTCATTTTTAAAAAGCACATTGTTTGTACTCAGAACCTCTATCTTGACCGAAGAAAATAGACTTAAAACAACTAAATTACTGAACATAATCACAGCATCCATGCATGGGAAGTAGGATAATTTGTACAAAATATAACCATACATTGTTACAATAAACCACATCTATTCTCACAAAAACATGTGTACATTCATTAGTTTACAGTTTTCGCAGTTAGCAAAAGAATAACTTGGACTACTTTATTGCAACAATTGCAGTTTCTGTAGGACCATGTCAAATAAATAAAGCTACCAGCATAACTGAAATAAAGAATTCAACAAACGCTCCGCCCCCCCCCCCATTTTCCCATTTCTTGTCTTAGGTCCTTTAGTATCAATGTTGACTTTTTCCATCTCAAATGTCTGAAAGCTCAGTTATTAATTCATAAATTGCACAATTTTGTAAAAGTAAATGAATATACATAAACAAGTAAAACCATACAATATTTAAACCTTTTTTTTACATTTTGCATAGCAGAAATGATTTCTTTTAAACATAATTTACTGAAACCATTTCCCTATGTGATCACTTTTTTATATAATAAACATCATTTGAAATATATTGTCCAACACAATTAAACTAATAAAGACTTTAAGTATATCGTTTAAACAGGAGGCCTTTTTTTTTATACAAACCAACATATTTGTCAATATGATTGATGTGTATAGCTAACCTACATTCCACCTGTATTTCTGATTAATGAAATTAATAACAAAAAAGTGATCATTTTATGATCTTTATATTTATCTTAAATGTTTGTGGCAAAGTTGCAAATCACAAGCTAGCAAAGTAAATATCAAACCCTACATCATGTGCCATATACGAAAACCAAACTATAACAGCACAGAAACTAGACACAACTTATCTCGGGATAGCTATACACAATAGGATACAAGCAAAACAATTCTAGCTTTCTCACTCAAAAAGTGCTGGACTTCAGCCCCTTCTTAAAAATATATACGTATATATATCATGGATATTAATGTCCTAAAGAAAAATCTACCTATACTATATTCTGAGTTGTTGAAAAAGTTGGGTTCAATGTGTTAATAACAGTGGTTCAACAGCAAAACTGAATGCGCTTAATACCACATTTTGACTGTTTACCGAGACACAAATGAACAATAGGATGGAAGCTTCCAAGAAGTTACATAAGTTAAATATGAACCAGAGTACGTGGATGTGCAGAAACCATGTCAGATGTTGACAATCATGCCGCATCAATCAAGCATGCAGGGACTTGTCTTGTTTTCCTTAAACTTTGCAAAAGCAAGAGAAGAAAACAACGCCCTTACTTGTTCATTGTTATAGTCATAAAGCAATGTGATTGGTCAGGTCAATGACAAAAATGTTTCAGATGTCACTGGGCATATGGAAGATGTTCATATAAAGCTAGAATAAATGCAGTAAGCAAAGCTTTGTCTTGCATAGATCAATGTGCACCTCCACATTCTCATGAGTCACACTTCATATGCCTTCTAGCAGTGTTGCAGTACTCATACTCATACTCCAGTACATTTCGTACTCATGGAAATGTACTTGACTACACCACTGCCTTTTAAGTACAATGTATGCTAATATTGACTGCAATGAGT